CCTGCAAATTTCCTGCCCGCCGAACTGGGGGACCCAGACCACTGTTGCCTAGAGGTAACTGAAGAAATTTATGCCAGCCGACCGGACTTGCGCAACCAGCCGTTGCCGAACGCGGACATGACTTATTTTACAGACTGCAGCAGCTACATGAAAGAAGGGGATCGAGTGCCTGGGTATGCAGTGACCACGCTCGATCAAATAGTAGAGGCGAAAGCCCTACCCCCTGGATGGTCAGCACAAAGAGCTGAACTTTGGGCCCTGATCAGAGCTAGAACTAGCCCGGGCCAAGAAGGTCAACATTTATACTGACTCTAAGTATGCCTACACCACCCTGCACATTCACCGGGCCACCTACCGGGAACGTGGCCTACTGACAGCAGAACGGAAGGAAATAAAAAATAAGGCAGAAATCCTCCGCCTCCTAGAAGCAGTCTGGGCTCCGGCCGCAGTGTCCGTAATCCACTGCAAAGGCCACTCAAGACTGGGCACCATGCCGGCCCGCGGGAACCAAAAGGCGGACCTGGCAGCGAAGGCTGCCGCCATAAGCAACAATATGGCAGAAACACAGCCCTCTCTTCTCGGACCGTTGTTGGGAAGTCCTATTAACTGCCAGGACTACGAGCCAGCAGAGGTAAAGTGAGCCCAGCAAGCAGGGGGCCAGGAAACTCCCAAGGGAACTTGGAGATTACCTGATGGACGTTTATACGTGCCCCAAAGTCAGGCCAGTAACCTAGTGAGGAATTGCCACCATCTGACCCACCTGGGCAAAACTTCCCTAGAAAGGCTGCTCAAGAGATATTTCTACTTCCCCAATCTTTCGTCCCTGTGCTCAACCGCAGCCACCCAATGCATCACCTGTGCGAGGAACAACGCGGCCCCACACCCGGGGGTCCCGCCGGGAATCCAGCGCAACAGAACTCAGCCCTTCGAGGACCTCCAAATAGATTTCATGGAGGTCAAGGCATGCCGAGGGTTTAAATATCTGCTGGTTCTGGTCTGCACGTTTTCAGGGTGGGTAGAGGCCTTCCCCACCAGGACTGAAAAGGCGCGGGAAGTAACTCGGGTTCTCCTCAGGGAAATCATACCCAGGTATGGGCTCCCGCTCACAATCGGCAGCGACAACAGGCTGGCATTCGTTGCCCAGGTAGTCCAAGAGGTCGCCTGACTCCTACAAATAAATTGGAAACTGCACACTGCATACCGACCTCAAAGCTCAGGCAAAGTGGAACGGATGAATCGGACCCTTAAGAAAACTCTAGTTAAAGTTTCACCAGGAGACAGACCTGCCATGGACTGACCTGTTGCCACTGGCCCTGCTGCGAGTCAGGAATGCCCCGAACCCCTCAGGATACACCCGCTATGAGTTAGTCTTTGGCAGGCCCCCACCAGTAGCTAAGCTGGAAGGACCCCATGACCTCAGACAAAGGGGGGAGTTGAGTCAGACCCAGTACCTAAAGCGGTTGGGCAAGACCTTAGATACCATTTACCAGGCCAAATTAGGCCAGGAACCCCAACTCCGAGGGAGGCTAACGCACTCTTTCCGACCAGGGCAATACGCATGGGTAAAAGATTGGAAAAATAAGCCGCTCCAGGCAACCTGGACGGGCCCCCACTTAGTGCTATTAACTACCCCGACTGCCCTTAAAGTTGCAGGCATTACCAATGGATCCATGGATCCATTACAGCAGAGCCAAAGCGGCGGCAGACCCAGATAGAAGGAGGACCGCAAGAACTCCAGAAGGCAGCCCCGAGGACCAAGGGCCTAGCGCAACCCCAGAACAGCAACCGGCCGCCCCGACCCTGAGACTGTGGAGAGAGGCTGCCACCAGAGGGCAGCCAGGGACACGGACCGTTGTTCCAGCGGACACCTAACCATCCTCGGTGTCTTCAGTGTCATCCTGGGCATCGGGCTAGCAACGGTACCGCCCTCTGAATGGAGCCCAGCGGAGCGAGTAGCCCTCGGGGTCGTCTACCTTTGCTTGTGTTGTATCTTTGGACATTTAGTTTGCTTTGCTTAACCTACTCAGCTCCAGTTACCCTCCCAGAATGTCAGTGTAGGGCCCCCACTGAACGGATCAGAATAGGCTCGGGAGCAACCTACTATACTATACCCGCCCAGGCCTTCATCTCTAGCACTGGTATGCCCCCAGGATGCAGAAAGACCAGCACCATAAAACCTTGCGCCTGGAGGGGGTGCCAGTACCAGACTGGAGTAATGGAAGGCACCTCAGGATACCAGAGTCAGAAGTGCAGGCCACACGGCACCCCTGGCCGACAGGTCTGCTGGAATATGCACAAAATGCTTAGTAACCTAAACCAGGCAGAATTTGAGCAAGAAAGGCTAAAAGTGGTAAACAACCTAAATATTCAGCTTAAGAAGCAGCAGGTAGACTATAAGCAAATCAACCTTACTGCCTTCCAGGAAGCAACCGACCAGTTAAGGCCAGAAGTCCAAGTCAGGCAAATAATACAGACCTTATATACTGGTTACCACAACTCTACCAACCAAACAGAGTGTTGGGTCTGTCTGTCTCTCCAGGATAGGGGACTGACTGGAATACCAGTCCCTGACAACTGGGACTGACCCCGAGACACCACAGGTCAAAATCAGACAAGAACCATAGAGCCAGTGGCCACAAGAGTATTCCTAGACCCTGGGAAGGCCAGTGTCACCTGCCTCCTACCCATCCAAGCTTCCCCATTAGAGAACCCTATGGAGTCCCTTAACTATCAGCTTTGTACCCATAACATGAGTCTCTCTAACAACAGTTCCTTCTGCCCCGAGTCAGGGGTATTCCTCCTCTGTGGGGCTACTGCGTACAGGTGTCTCCCTACAAAGTGGACAGAGTCTGCACCCAGGTATTTTTAGCCCCTTAGCATAAGCATAAGCATAAGCATAAGGCCCCCACAAGAAATAGCGAAAGCCCTCCAGGAGACTCCCAGAGAGACAGCCCAAGTGCGGAGAGGAGCAATAGCAGGGGCCATAGCAGGGGTGGGCGTCGCCTCAGGAGTCGGTAGGGGAGTTGCAGGACTCGGGTTACGGCCTCCACCTACTACAAGCTTTCTGCCCAACTCAGCGAGGATATGGTAGCAGACTCCTTACCAGCCCTGCAACGGCAAATTGTATCCCTTTCCGAAGTAACCCTGCAAAATCGAAGAGCAATAGACCTCCTTACAGCTGAAAAAGGGGGTCCTGTATGTTCCTTGGGGAGGAATGTTGTTATTGATGAATCAGGAATAGTAAAAGAGAAGGCAGAAGAAATAAGGGAAGGCATCAGACGCCGAAAGGAGGAACTAGAGAAATGGAAGTGGGGTCTGAACAAGCAAGCCTGGGTAAGTTGGTTACTACCGTTCTTACGGCCCATTCTCATTATTGTACTTGGTTTAAGTCTAGGGCCATACATCTTGCGAACCTTAGTTCGCATAATAGCGACAACAGTCACCAGACAGACTACTGCAAAAATCCTGGCCCTACAGCACTACCAGTACCAGGCTCTCCGGCGTTCGCATAGCCAGGCCTACAGCCAGCCCTACGATGATGCCAAAAGCCACCTGAGCAGCTAATGGCATCAAAGAGGGGAATGTCGGGGGGAGAAAAACCAAAACCAGAAAGCCCGATGCTATTAACCAGCTCTGCTCTGGCTTCTGTAAATTTGCTTAGCCCAGGAACCGCTGCCAGCGGCAATAAGCCCTCAGGCAAAGGGCGGACCTTAACAATCTACTTCCGCGCCTCCCGCCCCCGCCCCTCCCCCAGCCCGCGACTTTCCGATCCTTTTCCCGCCCATCGCTAAGGCTTATAAACCCCGGCCTAACCCCTGGTCGGGGCTCAGATTTTGGAGACTGCCTCCTCTGAGCCCGCGCGCGTCAATAAATAAAGGCTTACTCCGTTCCCTGAACCGCGTCTGAGTCTGTTTTCCTGTAACAGTAAGAGCAGCTTCACTGGTCAGTCTGAATGCACACACAGATATACACGTGCGCATTCACAGATGGACATTCCCTGAAATCCTTCATCAAAAAACGGGTAAAAAACACTCCCTGACGTTTCCTTGTAAAATAACCAACTAATATTAACGAGTCTTCACTTTTGAACTAGAGTTTGAAACACAATGTTCTTCCCCCGCCACCACTTGTAATTTAGGAAGGAAACCATTTTTGGTTTTGTAAGCCTATGCAAATCAGAAGACAGTACGGTGGCTTTAGATTAGAGATGTACCTCGCGTTTAACGAACTGCATTTTACATGCTACTCTTTCATCATGAAAACAATCAACCTAGTAACCAAGGCTTTCTTATTTTCCTCCACAAACAGCACTTGTTGAGCATTTACAGCCTCGTGCAATAGGTACTATGGGAAATAAACAGCAAACAAATGTTCCCTTTTAATTATACTTAGAAACACGTTTTAGTGGTATCATAACGCTACCACCAAAATTAACCAGCATTCTGCAAACTGAAGATATTACAATTTTCCAAAAAGCAATAGTATGAATGTACTTAGTGCCACTGAATCATACACTTTAAAATGGCTAAAATAATAAATACTTCATGTACATGTTATGTATATTTCATCACAGCACTGTTTTATCATAATACGTTTTTAAAAGCAATGCTAGGATCCCATTTCATTTTTTATATATGTTTGCATAATTATGCATAAATTTTAAAATATAGGGAAGCCTCCCGACCAAAATGGGCCGGACTGCGGCTACTTTTACTTTTCTTACACTCAGCCGCGTCACCTAATCGTCCGTGATGAGTACGCTTTGTTTGCAAAATTGGGAGAACACCGAAAACACAGAAACCATTACTACAAATCTCTCCTCCCCGCGCCCCAGGCGCGAAGCGCTCCTAGGTCCGCCCGCAGCGCGGCGGGGACCGGATCCCGGGCCACCCACCCCGCCCCGGGCCTGAGCCACCGCCCGGCGCCTCCGCCGCCGCGCTCCCGCACCCCGCGCGCCGCAGCGGTCCCGGACGCGCCCCGCGCCAGACCCGGCCACTCACCGCCCCCCGCGCCGCCTCTAGGGCCTCCGGCCGCACCGCACGCCCCGCGCCTGTCTCGCCGCCGAGCGGGTCGCGCACGCGCGTCACCGCCCCGGGCCTCGGCGGCCTCTCTAGGAAACTGGGAGGGCCAACGTCTCGGCTTCTCCCCAGGTCCTGGGCAGTGCTGGCGGCCTCTGGGCCGTCGGGGGCTCATCCCCAGCACTCCCGACGCCCCGCGTAAGTTGCCTGCCCGCCCCGCTCCAATGCCCTTTCGGGCCCCACGGCTCTATCAGCCTTGGCCTGTGTCCCCACTTCCCTCCCAATGCATGTGCAGGACTGCCCTTGAGGCTCCCCCACGCCCCAGGGAAGAATAGGATCCAAAGCCAGGGGTCAAAGGAGGGATCAATAAGATCTAGCTGACCGCCAATCAGTGCCGACGGGAAGGAGCTGTTAACGGGTCACTCACTATCCGCTGGGGTCCCCTTCAATGAGGGGAGCCAGATGCTAGTTTTCAGGACTAGTCTCTTCTTCCCTCATCAGCACCACAAACGGGGCAGGGCGGGGCGGGGCGGGGCGAGGGTGGGCGGGGATGGGGGTGGCGGCCTTGGGAGAGCGTCTGTTTTCTTTTCAGCCACACGCACACAAAACTTGACCTTCCCACAACTCCAGCGGTTTTCTCCTCTTAAAGAACAAAAGTCAACCGAGCAAACTTTTAAAATCTTATAGGGGATAGCAGAAGTTATTCAGGCAGGCTACGTAACTAATGCTGATTAGAAAAATCTTTAATGATTTTATTATTTTTAAATCAATTTTAGAGAGAGGAAAGGAGAAACACCATTTGTTGTTTCACTTATGTTTTGCATTCATCGGTTGCTTCTTATTTGAGCCCTGGCCGAAGAAAATACGGAAACCTCACCTTTTGTGTATCTGTTGGAAGCTCTGACCTACTCAACTACCAAACCAGGATCTTGAATGGCTTCTTAAAGACAATAGGCGCCAGAGTTGCTTTTGCCAAGCCCCATGCCACCAAATTGACACTTAACTTACAGTTCTGGCTCGCCCCAAAATAAACTCATAAATCAATCACGAATTTCCTGGTGAGCATTAGTTAGGTAATCGGCCTGATCAACACTTGCCATCCATCTCATATGAGAGAAACAACCTTGCAAAAAAAACGATCTGCCCTTTTGCCTAATTTAACTTCCTGGGTTTTGCTCCCTTCTGCCTATAAAACTCCTTGCCTTGTATAGTATTTCCAAGCTCCTTTCTATCTGCTAGACTGGATGTTGCCCACTTCATGAATCACTGAACTTCAAGTTTTAAGATTTGAATTTTGTTCTTTGTCAGAAAGGTCAGAGGCACTACCTTAGGCCAAGGAAATCCAGCGGTTTCTGAGTTTAGAGACTGAGTTTAAGAATTCCCTTTGTTCTTCCAACTTTGCCTGATGATTGAGGGTGGTAAGGAGCAGTGACAATTCCAAGAAGTTTGCAAGCTTTTAGTTAAAGCTCATACGATTTTTCCCAGTGAAGTGGGTACTTTAGTCACTACATACCTTGGAGGGTATACCCCGAGTGGGAAACACATTTTCCAACAGTGTCATTGCCACTGTGTGGGTGTCAGCCTTGCGGCAAGGGGAGGCTTCAACAAATCAGAAAACATACAATAACAAGAACATATTGGTGACCCATACTAGGTGGCAGCTGAATGAAGTCCAGTTGCAGATACTCAAATGGTCCACAGGAGAAGGTTTGAGGCCTCTGGAAACAAAAAGAGTTTTTCCAGGATTATGAACATGAAAGGGAGCAATTGGTTTTCACAATTTTACAGAATTCTCCACGCCAGCATTTATTCATAATTTGAGTCACCTTCGCTGCACCATGGTGGGTTAATCAATGGAAAAACCAGAAGACAGGTTTTGCCAGGAAGCTTGGAAGAACCAAGCAGCTATCTTGGGTCTCCCATAGTCCCTGACTAAGTTTACAATGACTGCCCATTGTGCTTTCTCTGATTCAGGAGATGGCCCATGGCCACGTCGCAATGACCTCGGGATGACAATAGGCAACGTTTGGCAACAAGGGGTCATTTTCTCGATAGTAGAAAGAACTTCATTCAACGTATGCCACAGCCCTTAGATTCTGCTGCTGCCGTCCGTGGGTGAAAGTCAGCCAAGGCATTTCCCTGATTCCCAGTTTCAATCCTCTTGGTCTGAGCCTCAATTCTGATGACAGCAATTTCAGAAAGTAAGAGAATAGCAGCAAGAAGGCATTTATTTGCAATCTGCTTATTGGAGTCCCACAGGTTTGAGAACATGTGACACTTCTTAGTGCTCTGGTCCCAGAGTCATGTTTTTATAGATCTTATGTTGCTGACTTGAGAGATCCTGAACTGAAGGGCCGGGTTCTGATTTTTATCTTTACATGTCCAAATTGAGTGTTCACGCCATTCTCCAAGTAATGCCAGATCTCACTAAAATACGAAGTGTAGTCCTGGCTGGTGTGGCTCAGTGGACTGAGTGCTGGCCTGCAAACCAAAGGGTCGCTGGCTGGACTCCCGGTTAGGGCACATGCCTGGGTTGCAGGCCAGGTCCCCATTGTGGGGAGTGGGGGGGCACACAGGGGGCAACCATGCATTAATGTTTCCCTCCCCCTCTTTCTCCCTCCCTTCCTCTCTCTCTAAAAATAAATAAACTCTTTTTAAAAAAATAGTAAGTGTATTTTCACTAGTAGTACATGATGGCTTCCATGTCCCTTTATTATCACCATCATTGTATACTCTTAAAAGATCAGTTGAGGAACATTTAATTTGGCGTATTTTGCCGTGAATAATGTGCACTTTTTTGCCCAAATTTCTGAGGGACAAATAAGGATGCACATTATACATGGGCAGTACTGATTCTGTATTTATATAAATGTTTTTTAATTCTTCTACTTATGCTTATGTGTTAAAAGTGTAACTCTAGAAAGCAATAATGACACTCATATGCCAAATAATGCTCTGGAATATGATAATCAGTATTGTTTCTAAATATAAATAAGTAGAATTAAAAAATGAAAATTAAAGATTTTTTTTCCTGAAAATTTGGCCCAAAAATGTGGGTGCACAGTATACATAGCAGGGCATTATACACAGCAAAATACAGTAATTTGAGCAAACATCAATTCGAACCAGGTGGTGCCAAACCAGAATTGGATAGGAGCACTCCATCAGCAGAAGGTAAGGACAAGGCCTTTTATAGAGATGAGGAAGCAAAGCAAGTTATTTGATTAGCTATACCTTAAGAAGTTTGCATTATTTGGGAAAGCCCAGTTGGCTGCTGTGATTGGTTGTTGTTCTTAACCTTGAGCCATTTACAGAAATTGACTTCAGCTTAGCTTTCAGATTGCTTAGGCCAGCCACAAAAGTATTAGCTCCATCTCAGTCTAATGGCCCCTCTGTAACTTTAGCACTTCTCCCCTTTCTGTCATCTTCTCGTACATGGGAGAGTGACCAAAAGTTTGGCATTAGCATCACTCTCAGTCACCATCACATTTAAGCTGTTCTTGTCTCATTGTGAAACTCATGAAACTTGGAAGTTTTAATACCAGAGTTTTGGAAGACTTGTTTTCACTGTTCATTTCATGGTTCATTTTGTTTCTCCTTCTCCAAGCACAGTGAGACCATTCGCTATACTGCTGCTATCTACAAACATGCTTTTCAAGGCCCTTGAGCGAGCGCCATGCAGCAGGAGACTGCAGTGATGGCTGTGAGGTGCGTAATACCGAGACACTGGGGCGTGCTCCTTAGTCGAGGTCCCCATGGGCCAAACCAGTGAATATGTATGAAAGAATGTACCCGAGGAGGTGTCCTCCTGTGTTAGCTAAGTGGTTTGTTAATTTCTTGTATTTGCTATAGCACCGGAGATGTAGATCCACGTACAGTTGGATGTACCTGTTATGGCACAGACTCCTGCTTGTACAGTCAATAAATAAGTTAAAGCAATTGTATTATCTAAAACCACCTCAGTGAGTAAGCCCAGGGACTCCTGCTGTGTAGCAGAGGCCTTGGGGTAGATTCAGTGATAGTTGTTAGAGTTAAGGAGCACAGCTTCCTCATGAGTTAACAGAGAGAAAAAGCAAGTAGCAAAAAAGGCAAAATGAATAAAAGGTTTTGTATTGCAGATGAAGATCTTGACCAGTGGTTTTGGAAGAGCTGTCCACCTCGCGATGCCCTCTGCTTCTGGGGAGGAGCCTCCACATCCGTTTTAATTTTAGATCTCCCTCTGGCGCACGTGTCCAAGGTCTGCAGGAGTCCAAGGTCTGCAGGAGCCCTTTCTAGTTGGAAGATATTGATCCAAGGTTCAAGGCCTTGAAGTTTGGCTGTTGTCTAAGGAGTGAGGAAGATCCAGGATGGTCCCTTTCAATGAAGTTCAAGGGCAACCTTTCTTCTTAGTGATTCCAAGTCAGAAGAGTGGCAAAAAGTGGAAAAGATCAGTTTGGAGAGTTGCAGCCATATATTTTAAGAACCTAGAAAAAGTCAGGATCCAGTCAGGTTTCCAGGTAGATACCAAAACCTCAAAGACCGTGAACTGGACTAGAATCTGGTATTCCCAAGGGTATGTTATGGTTTTTTATTGAAATATAATTTTTCTCTTTAATATTACCTGCATATTTAGCAAAGATAATCACAGTAAGCCTAATTGGTTAGCAAAATAAGTCTAGTCTTATTATACCTGGCTTGATTATTTAAATAAGTGCAACAAGAGTAGTGACTGACATAGAGGTTTTTTAGAGGTCTGCTTTGCCCAAACTTTTCATAAGGAATCTCAAATTGGACTTTTAGAAGACTCTTAAGGCTAGGAAGCCATGCCAAGGACTTGCCAGATGTTGCCTGGAATATCTACAGATTTGAGTGAATTCTTTATCTCTTGACATGCCAAAATATCTTCATATTCCTGGGGCTGCCAGGAAGTTTTGGGACCCAGTAAGAAAGATACCAGGAGGTTTTCCAAAGGACTTTATTGGCTCCATAAAATCAACCTTGGTATCTTAAAACTGCATGGTCATATCTGATTTTAGGCACATCATTTTTAAATATGACATTTGGTAATATAACCAATGTTTCCAATTGTGTTCTAAGGAGAATAGATTTTTACTGAATTCATGCAAATGACTATATTCCATAAGAATAAAATATTTAATAAGTTTCATAATTCTGGAGGAATGAGATAAGGAGAAAAAGATAAATGTGTTAATTCTGTTTACAAAGGTATAATTTACCAAGTTGCTATAGTCATATATCACTTCAGAGAAAAAAAGAAAAAGATTTTAAGTCTGGAAAACAAAACATTAAAGAACTAGCATGTTTCAAACAAAAAGTCATAAAAATTATAATCATCCTTATCAGTTCATTGAATCCCAGGTCATTTATTCTTGCTCTGCTTGAATCCAATTTTTCCAGTAGAGTTTTGGAAATTCTTACCCAGTAGTTAAAAGTTATCTAAATCCTGTATTCCAGACTACTTGTGTTTTTCATTAATCTTTCTGAAGATTAGGCACTTTTGCAAAAGGGTCAGAGTAAAACAGTAACTATTTGTAAATGACTGAAAGACTTTTTAAGTGGCCATGGTTAAAAAATGATGAGTTCATTTATAAATGTATTGTCGTGGCATAATTTAACAACTAGACAATGACAATATTAACAAATTTCTATGAACTTCAATTTCTAGATTACCTATATTAACACTTATCTATACACATGTAACCTAATGTTCATTCTTTTTTTATATTGTAATGCTTCCCATGATATTTAACATACCAAATAAAGCTAGTTTCTTGTCTTTTTTTTTTTGTCCCTCAATAAACATTCTTCCTAATCTTATCTGAGATGCCTCCACAGAATCACATTAAAATCTGATTTTCTTGAGCCTCAACTCTCTTCCCTTTCTACTTAGACATAAATCACAGTTCATAAAAAATCTGCCCTCCAGGTAACATACCTAGCATTGGACCTCTAACCTCCTTCCCTCCTTTGCCACACACAATCCTATTGTCCTGCTAGGAGGAAGAGGAAGAGGAAGATAAAAGGCTTTACTGCAAGGAAGAAAAGAAGTGCTTCGAGGTCTTATACATGACCTTGAAATAGGAGAGGAAATCCTCTGGAAAGTTACTTGTCTCTTACGCCCTTCGGAATGAAAGATGGTCCAGAAGATAATGACAATAAATAAGTTAAATTTAGGTTAAATTTAGATGGCGGTTGCAGTAAACAGAACTAGTTGATAAGTAAATCAGATTAGTTTAAGTCTATTATCTTGCAAGAAACTGAATCCTGTGAATTATAATCTCCCAAGAATGCTTCTAATTGAGATTTTATTTTTTCTTAATATTGTACTTATTTTTTAGAGAGGAGGAAAGGAGAGAAAAAGAGAGGGAAACATCAGTGTGCGAGAAAAACATCTATCGATCAGTTGTCTCTCTCCTAACCCAGGACTCTTCCAACCTGGGACCCAGCCCTCTACCCAGGCATGTGCCTTAACTGGGAATCAAACTGTTGGCATTTCTGTATACAGGCCGGCGCTCAATCCACTGAACCACACCAGCCAGGGCTAACTGGGATTTTCAATCATCTTGGCTGCAGCCAGGAAAGTCAGGTCTTCTTTGCAGTAAATTTTGAGTAAGCCCTTATTTACTTAGGTGTCAGGGTGGAGCCAGCCAGTTCAGCACTAAAGTCAGTGAGAGGAAAAAGTACATATTGGCAGGACACGATTGCTCTTTGAGGCTGAGATAGCAGTAGTAAGACTCCCAGGGGTTCCAGGCATGTCTTCACAATGGTGGCTCAAATAAAGGTTATGAAAATTTAAAAAGAAAGACTCCCAGGGGTACATGTAGAATATGCAAATGAGGCTTTTGTATATGATATCCTATGCCAGCCATCTTTAAAATTTTTGATCCAGAGGTGGGAGGAGAGTTTGTGCCCAGTTTAGGTATGGGTCAACTGGAGAGTTGAATTTTTAAAAATTATTTATTTAACAAATAGTATATGCAAATAATTATCTATATGCTCAAAAATATAAGGTGCCATACCCAACCTCAAAGAGCCTACATCAGCGTGGCATGGAAGTACACATATACGCATTAAGTTACGAATCTGTGACGAGATAATTGAATAACTGCAAATTATAGCACAGGTTAGTTCGAACTATTGAGGTCAGGTTAATAATTTAGGAAGGAAGAAGAAGTATTAGAAGAAGGAAGTCTTTCACAAATGAGCTGGATCTTGAAGGTTATGAGGGGGAGATTTTAACAACAGGATGAAAGAAGGATTCCCTAAGTAGTGAACAAGTGATGAGGGTCTAGATTAAAATAAGAGTTTTGAAAGGGCCACAGACAAGAGAAGTAAAAGGGGCATTTTGAGATCTTCTTTCTGTCATATTGTCAGTTTGCCTCAAAAAACTCATAAAATTCAAAAGGGGAAAAAAAGGTGAATCAGTCTTGGAGAGCGACATTCTATAAATTGGGAAATGAAGGAGGTGGGGGAGAATAACAAAGATACAATCTCTGTCCCTCAGAAGCACCCAATCTAATTGTGGGATGCATAACAAAGCAATAAGATAGATATTTCAACAGAAAAAAGAAGAAAAAAAAGAAAACCGCACAAGTCCATGAAATGTGCATCCATTTGTCCCCAACAGTTGGGAGGGAACACACTGTTCCTCCAATCTCCACCCTCATGACCCCGCAGACAGCACTTAGGGGACGGCCCACTTTCATTAGTGGTTCCTAGAAGGGATCAGGGTAAACATCCATCTTACAAAGAAGGCTTAATTCAAAGTGCCTTGCTCTCTGCCTTGGAAACTCAGGCCTTAGGAAACTGACCGAGCCAGACCTGAGTGCTTCTCTCCATGTGAGTTTGCTGGTGGTGGTTAAAAGTGGAACGCTGGCTGAAGGCCTTCCCACACTCAGTACATTCATAGGGTTTCTCGCCAGTGTGAACTCTCTGGTGCACAGTGAGCTGTGAGCTGTCACTAAAGGCTTTCCCACAGTCACGGCATTTATAAGGTCTCTCCCCAGTATGGGTTCTCTGATGCACCATAAGGCTAGAATTATGACTGAAGACCTTCCCACACTCGGTACATTCATAAGGTTTCTCACCAGTGTGAATTCTCTGGTGTATGATAAGGTATGAGTTTTGATTGAAGGATTTTCCACATTCACTGCATTTATAGGGCTTTTCACCTGTGTGAAGTCTCTGATGTCGAATAAGACATTTGCTCAGGCCGAATGCCTTTCCACACTCATTACATTCAAAAGGTTTTTCTCCAGTATGAATGCGCTCATGGTCAGCCAGATGAGAGTTCTGATTGAAGGCTTTCCCACACTCCCTACATTTGTACGGCTTTTCCCCACTGTGAAGTCGTTGATGTCGAATAAGACTTTTATTCCGACTGAAGGCTTTGCCACACTCAATACACTCATAAGGCTTCTCCTCAGTGTGGATTCTCTGATGATCAATAAGATTTCTATTAGAACAGAAAGCTTTCCCACACTCGTTACACTTGTGGGGTTTCGCACCAGTGTGAAGCACCTGATGTCGGACAAGGTTTTTATTGCGAGTAAAGGCCGCTCCACACTCACCACACTCATAAGGTTTCTCCCCAGTGTGGGTTCTCTGGTGGTCATAGAGTTTGTAACTCTCAGTGAAGGCTTTTCCGCATTCGTTACATTTGTACGGTCTCTCCCCGTTGTGGTGCCTCTGGTGTTGGATGAGATGGGAGCTGTGCCGGTAGGTCTTCCCACACTTGCTGCATTCATAGGGCTTTTCCCCCGTGTGGGTTCTCAGATGAACAATGAGCTGAGAGGTCTGCCTGAAGGTCTTCCCACACTCGGTACACTCATAGGGTTTCTCTCCAGTGTGAATTCTCTGATGGCCAATGAGGTGTGAGCTCCAACTGAAAGCTTTGCCACATTCGTCACATTGGTAGAATTTCTGTGACTTCAGAACCTGATGTTCTGCAGGACTGGAAGACAGATTGGGACGTTCCCCAAGTTCCTGACAGTCATCACATCCATCTTTTGCGGATTTGTTTTCATCCTCACGTGTTACTTGCAGGAAATCACTCTCCCGGCTGCTCCCTTCCTCCTCGGAGGGTTCTAGCTTCCCTAAAGCACCTTCAGCGACATTTCCAGCTCCTGGTCCCCCAGGAACCACCCCGTACAGGCATCCTGATGTCCCATCAGATGACCCCGATCCTTTAGAAACTTCCTGCCCTCGAGGCAGTTCTGATTTCTCCATCCTAGTCTCACCTGATGCCAAAAGAAAGAAGAGAAAAACGCTTTTACTCATTTTTTGTCCTATTGAGAAAACAATCACCAGAAGTGTATGTGCCTGAAAAAGCCTTTGTATGATGGGTAAGGAATGAGGTGACACACTGAGAACAAGAGAAAAGGAGAAAAGTCTCAAATTTTTCTTCACAGACATAAAGACAAAGAGGGGGACGGTCAGTGGAGATGGTGGAGGAAAAGCCATTAGGACAGATACTTGCATCAGTACAACCAAGTGAGTAAGGCAACTGAAAGCAAGAGACCAGATGTAAAGCTGGCTTGAACTTGGGATCTTCCACAAGTCACTCAGGTGCTATGTGTCCTCAGTAAATAACAACACTAAGATCTTTTCCAGCCATGACACTGTACAGTTCCATGATTCTCAGCAAGATGGTGGGGAGAGAGAGCGACGGCAAACACCTCAAATGAAGTATGAGAAAAGCACGGGCAAACATGAGACTTGAAGGGAGATTGACATTATGAGTGTATAATTAGAAAAAAAGTATAAAAAAGGAGTGATTCTGGTATGATAGCTTAATGACAAGATTTGGAGAAGCCATGGGTTCAGAAATGCTGGAGGAAAGTACTGAGGGGGAGTGCAAAGCTCTAGGAGTGGGGATCGCCTAGACCTTGGCGAACTAGTTAGGAACTAGTGCTACAGTGCTATACAGATTGAGAAAGGCATCATTAATGTGGAGTATAAACCAAAACACGACTGTTGTATTTTGATAATCTGGAACCATCAGGAAACTGAACAGCTGAATATATGATTCTGAATACAAAAATTGGGAGAAGGCAGAGCAATCACACTTACAGCTAAACACAAAAACTTTGGTTCTTTTCAATCATGTCTAAAGTAGCACATCATCATGCTACTTTAAATATACAAGTTGTAGATTTCTGAATACCTGACTCCTGAGCCTGCCCTTTCCAGAGTAGACTTGTCAGTCACAGAGCCTGTACTGACAACAGCACCTTTAAGGAGCTGCCCTTGTTTAGTGTTTCCTGAAGGAAAAATTGAGGCAACCATGCCTTATGCCAAGCGACCCAGATCATTCCATGACGGACCACAGGCCACTGGATAGGGGCCGGGCATTATAGCCAAGCGTAGCTAACTTTTCTGGAGATCAGTTATCCTTCTGCTGTGGCCAGGAACAAAGTTCTGCCCAAAGATGATATGTAATAGCTGAACCGCCCGTGGAGTCCCTCTCTAAGTAAATTCCTAACTGGAAGGAGAGCAAAAGGAATACAACTGCAACAAACGAGAAGCTCAAGGTGAAATGATGTATGGCGGGAAGCCACGCCATTGGGAATAAAACTCATTCCTTTTGTTGCTGAGGTTCCCAGGCTCCCCAGGCTCAATGAGGCCCCGCTTCCCGAAGTCTGGTCTAGCTGGTCCGTTTGTAGAGGATTCCCATTCCCTTAGCCTTATCGTAAATAGCATAGCTCCTTCCTTAAAGTAACTCCAGCGGGTCTCTATACCTTATAAACACAAACTCTAACTAAACCACCCTAACTCAGTTCATAAAGACATAAAGAGAACGTTGATAAGTGTTAAAACTGGGTGATGGGTGTAGAGAGGGTCATTATACTGTTCTGCTTTGTCCACGTGTGCAAGTTTTCACAATAAACAGCTAAAAAAGGAAAGAACTACAGCAGAGACAACGTGGAGGATGCGGCTGCTGAGTTCCCGGGGCACAGACTCATTACCCGGTGAGGCCATGCTGCGGTGAGTTTCTGGCACGATGTTCCGGCACACGGCTCTCCGACTCGATGCCGGACCTTCCCACTTCTTCTCCGCGCAGTCCACGGACAGGAACTCGTACGCCGCGGACCCCTGCAACGACAAGCTTCCACTGCTCAGAGACATCCCCGCCTGAAGGGCAGAGCCATCAGGGACACCAAGAGCACAGGGCAAGGGCCCTGGTGGGCTAAGCGGGGGAGGAGGGAGGAGCTGGCATGACACATCCCAAAGGACAAGTCCAGGGTGAGAGAGAGAGAGAGAGAGAGAGAGAGAGAGAGAGAGAGAGACCGTCAACTCAGCAGGCGGCCCCGCCTCCAGGGAAGCAAGGAGACGGGGAGCCCCAGGAGCAGCCTCAGGAGGGGCGGGAGCCCCGGACAGGAGCTCTAGCGATCCCTGGGCCACAGACTCAGGCCGTCGGGAAAGACACAAAGAGCCAAGCTCACCTGGGGCCCGACCTTCTGAAGCACCGCTGCTGCTGCGTGGTGTCCTGTGCTCCCCACTGGGGGAAGGGCCGGGGCCGGGGAAGCACGTTGAGCTGAGGGTGGACAGAAATCTGTGAGTGGACAAGGCCTGCCCTTGGGCCCAGGAAGGCTGTATCCCTCTGAGTGGATTCAAGAGGACCCCGGCAGCTCCACACGCAGGCACTTGTCTTCCATCCCCACAGGTGTTCCCCTACGTGTGCTGCGAATTTTCCACGGAGGATGCAGTAGAGGGTTTCTGCTCAGACTGAAACTGGTAGAGGTTTGATTCCCAGTCAGGGCACATACCTAGGCTGCAGGTTTGATTTTCCAGTCAGGGTGGATGCAGAAGGCAACCAATCGATGTTTCTTGCGATCTTGCACACGTGCGCGCGCGCTCTCTCTCTCTCTCTCTCTCCCCCTCTTTCTTGAATAGAATAAAATAAACCTTAAAAAAAGAAAAAAAGAGAGGAAAGAAAAGTGAGCACAGTCTCTGCAACCATGAACATCGATAAAAAGCTAAAGACCTTCTGGGCCTTTGAAACTGAATGAGAGACCCAGATGATAAGGAAGAGATGGAGGTCAATGAGCTGAACCTGTCCAGTTAAATTCAGGTACCCTAATACGACAGGGTCCATTCCTGTCCCAACTATCTTCTGAGAACAGAAGAAAGCCTTCATTCATCAACTTACTGAGATTCTGTCACAAATGTGAGCCTGTGGGGCCTATGAAACAAGATGAGCTAGATCAGGCCTCTTCTCTGCAAGAGTCATACATTAACCCACTCTCATGCCCACAATGAAAACAAATGCTTCAAAAAAATAGTGAAAATACCAAACAATCATCTGGCCATTTCTCAGGGACATTTCTTTCTTTATGTCATTTTGTTCCTCAACTCACATGCAATGTAATTTTGTTTTCCTTTTAAAATCCTCACTAAGTAGTCTCTTGTTCTCATGTTTTTCCTATCAGTATGTGGGTACCTAGGTTGATTCTATACACAGATAATAAGCAAAGAAGTTTCTCAGGAGTCACCACTAAAGAAAGATTTCCCTTCTAGTACATATTTAAAATGGTAAAATAATACACAAATATCTCAATTAAGAAAGGAGCTTAAACCTAGTGCTCAAAACTTTACACCTAAATACCATTCTCTAATAAATAGCACCAGGGTCCTTGGAGAAGCGATTGATTCCAGGGCTGGGGTACAAAAGATACAAGAGGAGTAGCTTCTGAGGCCAGAAAGTCAGGAAAAGACACAAAAAAGGATGAGGGCACTTCGGGGGGCACAAGCCAACCTAAAAGAGCTCCCAACGGCCAAAGCTAGAATAAATTAGACAACAAAATGAACAATAGCACTGCATTGTGAGCCAAAGACTAAATTACACACGCAACATCACATGCTGATAGACCTCATCGAACAAATAAACAAAGGAGATGAAGGGACAGCTCTTCCTCACAAAGGATTCCGGTTAATCAATGTAGACGGAATAATGGAAACACAGGTCACCGTTAGACCACGGCAGCGGTAACTGCCATAGGCAAGATCCCCCAAAGACTGATGGGTGCAGTTAGGGAGACGCAGGATATCCCTGTGCAAAGTCCCAAACTATCTTCCCCCAAACACTTCACCAATTACAAAGGAAAAGACACTGTCTTTACAGCGGTGACCCCTGACAGACACCACAGGGTAAAATTAATATCACCAGTAATAAGACTCAGCATCATTCTCAACCTAAATGGGAGAAAATATATAAAAAACCAAGTTGATTCCAAAGAACCTATGCACCCCAATGTTCATAGCAGCACAATTTACAACAGCCAAGTGCTGGAAGCAACCTAAGTGCCCATCAATAAATGAATGGATCAAAAAATGATGATACATTTACACAATGGAAAACTATGTAGCAGAAAGAAAGAACTCTCACCCTTTGCAACAGCATGGATGGAACTGGAGAGCATTATGATAAGCGAAATAAGCCAGGGGTGAAAGACAAATACCATGTGATCTCACCTATAAGCGGAAACTAATCAAAAAAACAAACAAGCAAGAAAAATACAGCCAGCAACACTGAAAGGAAAAACAAACTGACAGTAACCAGAGGGAAGGGGGGCGGTAATGGGGAAAAGAAGGGGAAGGATCAAGTCAAGGAACATGTATAAAGGACCCACGGACAAAGCCAAAGTGAGGAAGGATTGAGGATGGAGGGTCGGGGTGAGTGGAGCAGGGGAAAGTGGTGGCGGGAAAATGGAGACAAATGTACTCGAACAATAAAAAAAGAAAATCAACACTGTGCCAGGTGCTAGGGGGTTGGGGAGCTTTTTATTGGTCAAAGCATACCCAAAAAAGGAAAAAACAAATTGATGGTCATTCTAAAAGTACAAATACGAAATACTTCAAAGGTGTCAATGTCGTGAAAAACAAGGAAGACTGAGGAACTGGCACAAACTGAAGAAGAATAAGGAGACATGACAACTAATGAAATGAGGGATTCTGGACTGAATCCTGGCACACGAGGGTCAACAGTCAGAGACTGAACTCTGATGAAAGCCAGAAGTTTCATTAATCATACTGTACCACCGTAAATTTCTTATGCTTGGTGATAGCACTAGGGTTATACAATGTATTAACTTAAGCAAACCGGGTAGAGAGGATAAGAGAAGTCTGTACAGTTCTGCAACTCTCTGTTAAGTCTACAGTTATTCAAAATTGGAAGGTTTTAAATCGAAGAAGTTTGAGGTGTTATTATTTTTTTCCTGATTTATTTGTACCATAAATAAAAGGTGGGGCAAAAGTGGATTTGTAGTTGTTCATAGGGAACATAATAATCAATAAATAATAAAACAAGAATAAACTGTTTTGCCTACTCTCTACTGTAAGCCTACATTTGCCCCACCCTGTATTTAGCATTAACTCGGTAACCAAGGACACTAAACACTTACAACTGCTATCTCTGACTGGGATTCATTCTTTCATTAACAAATATTTAATGAGCAACTACTACGTATCAGGCCCGAAGGCCATAGCAGTGAATTCAGCAGACATACAGCACTGCCTTGAAGGCCTTATAGGAAGACAGGCAATGAAATAAATAAAATATAGGGTGTGTTGGACAGTGACGGGTGATAAGTAGTATAAAACAGGGAAGGAAGAGAATAAGAGATTTAAGATCAGGAAAGGGAAAGTGTAAGCTCAAAAATTCAGTCCTGTAGAGCCCATCGTAATTCGCCTCAGGGAGCACTTCCAGGTTGTTTCTGATATAAAATAGTGGAAATGGCAAAATAGGGCAAGTTATGTTTACTAAACGCATTTGCACTCTCACGCAACTCGGGCATCGCAGAAAGCTCAGACACCAACACTTCCCGGATACCAGGAGCCACAGAACACTGATCAGTGGGACTTTTTCTCTTTTTAGAAACTGTTTATTTTCCATCAACCTTATTCCCATTCTGTTAAGAGCAGCGAACGACCCCTCAGTGGTTGTCCCTGCCCGTTCAGCGGCCTGCGCAGTGGGGCTGCGGACCCGGCTTCGCAGAAGCCCCTGAACAGGCCCAGAGGGCGGCCGCGACCTCGGGCCGAGCCGCAGCGGACTCGGGAGCCCGAGCAGCGCATTCACCCTGAAGGGCCTGCCTGGTCACAGCCTATGTTTTCGGCAGCGCCCTGCGCTTCCTTCCCCGTCTCTTCAGGGTCTCTGCAGAAGCGGGATCCAGCAGGACCCCCACAGGGTGTTCGCGGGCGACGGTGCCGCGCATGCGCACAACTCCCGGGCCGGCCTCCACCCATCGGACCCCCTGAGCGGCCCCCTGGTTGTAAGGGACAGCAACGTCCACATCACTCAGAGGGGAGTCTGTGACACAGAGCAGCGGCAGGCAGGCTAACATAGGGCGCCTCAGTGAGAGCCTAATGGTCAGCCCTGGGGTCAGTAACCGCCAAAAGCCCCGGGGCTCCCGGAGGCCGCCGGGATGCGGTGACCGAAGGGGCCGGGAGCACCGAGGTGGCAGTGGGAGTGGCTGTGGTGACGGCGCCAACTTCAGCACAGCTCCCCGGCTTGTGTTCCTGGACCACGTGGCACTGACAGCAGCGGGGCTGTCAACGGTGACGACAGCGCGCGTGGCCGGCAGAGGCTCCTCCCAGGTTCTCTTCAGATCTGTGATGTGGATGCCATCACTTTTCCGTTTCTAAATGTCCTGGGCCATTGGGAAGTCAAGGCTGGTGACCCCTACGTGGGCTCCTGCTGCAAGACTTTTGAGCATGTCCTCCTCCTTCATTTGCAGGCCATGCAAGGGCCTGCAAATTGTGAAGTTTTCCTTTTAGTTACCTGGAACCGAGAACACCACCACATGGACACCTCTCTGGGTAGCATGGAAAACGGCAGAACGATTAGTATTTTTGATACTTTTGTCAGTTCCCCTTTTAAGTACATACTGAGGTTTATCTTCAAAACAGTCACATCTTTCCAGCTCACAGGAAGGATTACTTTTTTAACCAAAACTTGTCTGCTTTCTTCAGCATTAACATGTAAGAGCAGCCTCACTGGTCAGTTCCTGAATGTGCACACAGATAATACACACGTGTGTATAACAGCAGTTTCCTTAATCAAAATAAGGCTAAAAACACTTCTTGATGTTTCCTTTGCAAAATAACTGACCTGCTATTAATGAGTCTTAAGTATGAACTGCAAACAGTTTGAAACAGGATGGTGTTCTTTCCTGGCCACCACCCTTAACTGAGGAAGGACACCTGGACTTTGTAAGCCTAAGCAAGTCAGAAGACAGTAGAGACTTTAGGTTAGAAATGTACCTCACCCTGGACAAACTGCATTTTACATACTACTCTTTCATTCTGAAAACAATCATCCTAATATGTTGTAATAACTATATATGGTGTTAGGTGGGTCTGGAAATATCAGGGGGAAGGAATACTCCAAAACGCATATAACTGTCTAACCATTATGCTGTACACCTGAAACTAATACAAAACAATATTGAATGGAAAATATAATTGAAAAATAAAATTTAGCCCTAGCCGGTGTGGCTCAGTAGATTGAGCGCCAGCCTGTGACCTAAAGGGCTGACAGTTCGATTCCCAGTCAGGGCACATGCCTGGGTCGTGGGCAAGGTCCCCAGCAGGGAGCACATGAAATGCAACCACACATTGATGTTTCTCTCTCTCTCTTTCTCCCTCTCTAAAAATAAATAAAATCTTTTTTAAAAAAGAAAAAGAAAATTTAAATTAAAAATGAATAAAGTTGGCCTATATAGGAATATAACAACAAAAAGATTTTGTTCTTTTTCTCCCCATACATCACTTGTTAAGCATTCACAGCCTCATGCACTATGTACTATAGGAAATAAACTGCAAACAAATGTTTTCTTTTTAATTATACTCACAAAAATACGTCTTAGTGGTTTCATAATGCTAGCACCAAAGGTAACCAACATCTGAGCAAATGCATTCTGCAAGTTAAAGATATATCAAAGAGTAATAGTATAAATGTATTTACTGCCACTGAATTTTCACCTTAAAATGGATAAAATGATAAAATTTTCTTCATCACATGATAAGTGTTATATGCAAAACCCAAAAGTTTTTTAAAAGCAATAATATACAAATGCCAAATCATTATGTTGTAAAACACCTGCAACTTAATGTTATGTCAATTTTTCTCAATAAGAAATTAAGTAGCCCTGGCTGGTGTGGCTCAGTGGATTGAGTGCTGGCCTGCGAACCAAAGGGTCCCAGGTTGGGTTCCCAGTTAGGGCACATGCCTGGGATGTGGGCCAGATCGCAGTAAGGGGCAGGTGAGAGGCAACCACACATTGATGTTTCTCTCCCTTACCCTCGCTCTAAAAATAAATAAATAAAATTTCTTTAAAAAGAAATTAAGTAATTAAAAAGTAAAATATATGGTGTATGGATTATATGTTCAAAAAGTAACAATGTGGAGATGCTAGACCTCTGCAAGCCTGTCTTTCTGGCTCTGGCTTTTGCGGAAAGGGCAAGGCACTCCTCTCTGCTGCGCAACCTCGGCACCCCCGTCCCTTTGCTCGCAGGTGTTACCTGCCTCTACTCGAGGGGACGGTTGGGGTGAAGGTGAAGTACACGAGGAGAAGGGCTGCAGCCAAGCAGTCCACAACCTGCGGGCAGTTTCCTGTCCAGTCCTTGTCAGAATCTAGAAAACGCTAGCTGCTCTCTCGCTGGAGGCGCACAGGTCTCCGGTCCTGCCTGGTCAGTGCAATAGCTTCTTGTGTAGGTGCGCGCGGCCCAGCCAGGTGGCGGGTCCAGATCCTCTCAACCCTGTTCGCTGCGGTTCGCCATCCTCTTCTCTTTCCTCTTCGCCGTCGTCTACCTGACCGTCAAGGATACCGGAGGCCGGACCTTGAAAATCTGTCCAAAACAAAGTTGAGCCTGGACGTGTCTCGTCTTCATCACCCTTCTCCCCATCAAAGACTGGCAAGCTGCAGCCGCTCTCACCCAGGATCTCCCACTGCACCTTTCTTTGCTCCCTTGCCCTTGTCTTCACTTTTCGTAAAGGTAGACGGCCCTGGTCCACAGTCAGGAGACCCATTTAGGAAAGGGTGTTGGATTAAACCATGTTACAGTCTGTGAATACTTGAGGCTAAATACTAGCAAAATTAAACAAAATGCAGCACACTTTCTAAAAGTTGGTGAAAAGTGTGTGTAATTGAAATAGATTATTTTCAAAGACTTTAATTTATGTTAAAAGACTTTAATTTACAAATGGTTAGAGATATGCTACCACCGATTTCTCCCTTTTTACACTTACAGAATTCCTGAAGGACAGGTATTTTCATCCCACAGACACCACCCCCCCCCCCAAGAAAGAAAGAAATAGCAACAATATTATCCCATGTCGAATAAGTATGCATATACATATATATGAGTTTACATAATTATGCGTAAATTTTAAAATACGAGAAAGCCCCCTGACGAAAACAGGGGGTACTTTTTCTTTTCTTACACTCAGCCGCGTCACCTAATTGTCCGTAATGGGTACGCTTTGTTTGCATAATTGGGAGAATTGGGGTACGCCCCGAGCCTCAGCCCGGGATCCCCCAGCACCCGGCGCAGCGCTGCGGTCCCGGACGCCCCCCGCGCCCAACCCGGCCACTCACCAACCCCCGCGTCCCTCGTCTAGGGCCTCCGGTCGTACCGCACTTACCGCGCCCGTCCCGCTGCCGAGCGGGTCGCGCACGCGCGTCACCACCCTGGCCCTCGGCGGCCTCTCTAGGAAACTGGGAGGGCCAACTGAGGTCGACAGTCGATACTGTGTGACAAGTAAGGGCCGCGACAGGCACATGGCAGGCCACTACGGGAGCACAAAGGAAGGGGCATCTAATCCGGGCGGGGAAATGGGGTACATAGAAGACTTACTGGAGAAGAGAGTTTCCCATCTAAGTCCTGAAGAACAAGTGTAAGTTTTCAAAGTGATGAGAGTATCCCATCTAGCTAAGGCTTGGGCCCCAGCCTCTACCCGAGCACAGTAGCGGAGGGTTTCCTACCCACGTTGCAATGGCGGGGGTGGGGTACGTTCTACGGCCCCATCTTCTTTTTACGGTAAGGGAGTCGTGACTGCCGGAAAGGGGACTGCCCACACAGATGATGCCAAAGGGTTTGAACAGTTTGGGGGCAGAAAATCTCCAGACCTGGCTGTGCTCCTCTCTTTGTGGTCTCCATAAACCCAAAAGGCTTCTAGGAATACCCTTCCAACAGGTCCTCTCACCCCAGGCAGGACTTACTTAATACAGGGTAGGGGACAATGGTGATGCAGAGCAGCACAGTAAGTGCTGTTAAGTATTTTCTGTTGTTACATACACATGGGGCAAAGGCTCGGCGGACCTTGGCAAAGATCTGGATTCAGGGGATGAAGTGGGAGGAAACATAATACTAGAAAACACCTATAATTTCTACCATGTGCCAGGCACTATATATATAAATTATTCAATCCTCCTATCAACTCTATAATTTAGGTACTATTATGATCTTTATTTTACAGATGAGGAAGCTGCAGCACAAAGGCTATCTTGCCCATGGTCACCCAGACCATGGTGTGACATCCGCGGTTCTAGTTTGGGCCTCTGGGTGAATGACAGAGCCTTGTACAGTGATGGGAACATGTGTGGAGCTTCAGAATTGAGGGTAATTGTGAATTCTGCTTCAGGTATGTAGAATTTGGGTTATCTGTTCTGCTAGCTCTGTACAAAGGCTAGTGTGATGGTTTACAAGAGAGGTAAGGGTAGTGTTCCCTCGGGCCTTCTGGAATTGCCTTTGAGCCAAATGCAAGTGTCCCAGGGTGCTATGGGGGATGCATCACGGAGCATGTTTCCCCACTGGGACCCAGCCTAGTCATGGTAGATCAGACCCACAGTGGCGGCCATGGTGGTACCTATAAAGCCCAGATACACCGCCTGGATGAACCTGGCCTTTAGCAAATAAAGCCAACCACTTGAGCATGAAAAAGGTCTGAGAACAAAACAACTTGGTCTTATTACCATTCAGCGCTCATAGCCCCGTGAGGCATGCGCTATGCTCTGCATTTTTCAAATGGTTCGGCATCTTTTTCATGGCCACCCAGAGGGGAAGGGGCAGCGTTAGGGTGCGCCCGGTGGCCCAGCTTTTAATGTCTGAGAGAAGCAAACGCAGCCTGGGGCATCAATTGAAGCCCCGCTCCGCTGCCGTCCCGGCGGCGTGATTGGCCCGGGAGCTAGTAATCCCAGGGCGCCCACCTTCAACGCCGAGACTTCCGGGTTCCTGGAGTGTCCGGAAGTGGGACCTCTCTCACTTCCGGGTCGGCCATTGTGTTTTTGCTTCTGCCGGCCGCGACAGTGTCCGGCGCCGAGGAGTCGCTGCGACGGTACTCCAGTGAGCACACCCGGGGCGGGGACGGAGGTGCTGCCTGGGCCAGGGTCCTTAGGCTGGAGCCGCGGCTGCCCACAGCCCAAGTCGGCGACTCTGGCCAGGCCCACGCTTTGCGCCCGCGGCTGGCGGCGCCGTTCCTGTGGCGCTCAGAAGCAGCCAGGTGTACAACCTCCTCTTTGACGCACTTTCCCTGACCAGCTGTGCCCGGCACGGACCCGGGCCCCCGCGGGTACAGCGCTGAGCAGGGCAGACGTGGCCAGGTGAGCCTAGTCGAACGCGAAGCGCACATAGGCGTTTTCCCAGCCTCGCCCTGGGACACAATACGAAGCGACAGAAGTGGGTCGGACGCTGTCGGAATTTCAAACGCGGACTGTGACTTGGACACGAAAAATCCAGATAAGCTGCTGAGCGTTTGGGACAGTGAAGGAAGTAGGAGAAGGGCCAGACCTTTGTACATGTATGGTAGGATGTGAGAGTTCACAGATGACTTTTAAGTCCGTCTTTGTCTTTTTAAAGAAATTGAGGCCTAGTGAGAAGAAGCGTCCCCAGGGTACCGAGATGCGTGGTGAATTGGAAGGAGAGCAGATGCCCTAGTTACCACTAAAGTGCTGATTCCCAACGTTTTACAATGTATAAACTGAATAAAAGTTTACCCCTGCCTACTTCAGTATCAGCTACATGAACCACATTCATTTGTTTACCAAACGTGTTTCTGTGTGTCATGTGTACACAGATGTCCAGAGAGGCCTGGGAACCAGCCCTGCCCCCTGAGTCCTCCCAGAAAGCGGGGGCGACGGCCACGTGAACCACAAACACAGTGTGAGCAGTGCTCTGGCAGGAGTCTGAATGCGAAAGGTACTGTGTCCTCAGTGAGGCAAAGCCATGACTAAGCTTGGAAACAGCAGGAAGGGTTTCTAGGGAAGGGAGGTTGAGGAGAAAAAGGTCTGGCATTTTCTAACTCCATTGGGTTTCTTTCCTTTGGTGGCCATCCAGCAGTTTGGAGGAGGTGAGTGTCGCGCACACGCTAGTTAAAATACAGTGTTATAGTGAGGGCGAGAGAAGAAGGCTGTATGTACGGCTCTCCTCTCTGTATGGGGCCATCGGAAAAGTGTTCAAGAGAAAAGGGCATTGGAGCCTTGACAGGTGAGTAGGAGTTTGTCAAAGTTGAAAGGAAGAAGGAAAATCCAAACAGGGCAAGAGTATTCCAAACAGCGGTGTCTCTAGAGCTTTAGTCCCAAACTTTGTATATTGTGCATCTCTACCCTAACAGAGAAGGGTAGAAAAGTATTGAGCATGCACTTCCAACACAGGTTTCTTTGTACATTACAGATACATGCTATTTTACAAATTTAATGCACATTATAAAACATGCACTGCCCTAGCCAGATGGCTCAGTTGGTTAGAACATCATCCCATACACCAAAAGGTTGTGGGTTCAGTCCCTGGTCAGGGCACATACCTAGGTTGCAGGTTTGATCACCAGTCAAGGTTCATCCAGTAGGCAACCAATCCATGTCTCTCCCTCTCCCCCTCTTCCTCTCTCTCTCAAATCAATGAAACATATTCTCAAATGAGGATAACGAGAGAGAGAGAGATGCACTAAATAGGAGTTAAATAACAACTTCTTATTTTCCTATGCACCCTTTGGATCATCTTGCATTTCCCATATTTGGAGATCATTGCTCTCTTGCTAGCCTGGGTTCCTGGGGAGAGTAGTAGTAGGTGTGGCTAGAACAGAGGCCTAAGACCATGTTGTGAAGGGCCATGAATGCTGTGCATAGATAATTTAGGTTTTATCCTGTATTGAAAGTTGAAGAAGGGAAGTCACCTAGAGAGATGCTTAGAGAGACTGTCCTGGTCTCTCTCTGTTTTCTGGAGCTTTGCTTTTTAAATGTTGAGGATCTCTCATCAGCCTGGTATTGAATACTCTGGGGACTCTGATTTCTCTCTTGATGTTCCTATAGGTGTGACACTCCCATCGCCCCACATCCCAACTCTGGAGAACAGCTCCTGAGACCTGAATTACAGACCGTCATTTTAACTAGACAAACTGCTGCTGCAACGAGCTTCTGTTTGGGGTCACAATGGCCACCCAAGGCAGGGGAACTTTAGGCCTCATCTCCAGGGCTGCTGTTCTCCAGAAGCAAGAGGGACGCCTGACTGTAAAGCAGGAGCCGGGGAACCAGAACTGGGGACAGGGCTGCAGTCTCCAAAAGAACCACCCTCCTGTTTGTGAAATTTTCCGGCTACACTTCAGGCAGTTATGTTACCACGAGACGTCTGGGCCGCAGGAGGCGCTGAGCCGGCTGCGGGAGCTCTGCCGCTGGTGGCTGATGCCGGAGGTGCACACCAAGGAGCAGATCCTGGAGCTGCTGGTGCTGGAGCAGTTCCTGAGCATCCTGCCTGGGGAGCTCCGGACCTGGGTGCAGCTGCATCACCCCGAGAGCGGTGAGGAGGCTGTGGCCGTGGTGGAGGATTTCCAGAGACACCTCAGTGGACCAGGAGAGGTGAGCAGTTGAATCTAGAACCAGTCTCTAGGACTAAGGCTAGCCTGGGGATAGGCATTCTCCATTCCTTAGTCTGTAGGCTCGTTTGCCCTTAGGATTCCTCAGCCAGTCATGGATAGAAGGGAAATAGTTTTGGATCCAAGCCATAAACAAAAGTGCAAATTGCAGCCAAGCTGTGAATCTGGGAAATAGTGTTTGGTGAGCATAGCTCCAGCGTGGAGATGCACACGGCACTTGTGGCAGGTGGAGGACCTGCACACTGGTTAGAGCGCGGGAGCGTGCGGGGACGGGTAAGGCTTGGGTGTGCTGATGACGTGAGCCCTCATTTGAGGCCTTCTCTTGACTCCCTCCCCAGACTTCTCCGAGTCAGCTCTCTCTTCCTGCCTTTTAGGATCCTTATGACAGGTAACAATTCTGGGTCTCATAATCATTTGTTCCTTTTTTAGCTTTCCAAACTCCACTGTGGTCTTTTTGTCTCTTTCATTTCCATTTTTCCTATTTCTCTAGGCTCTCTCAAATTTAAAGCCAAGGTCATTCATATTAGAGGAAAAGCTGGAGAGTCAGAAGTGTGATAACAGAGATGTCTGGCTTCTAGGGCCACAGAGCTAATTGGCTCAGTGACCGTGTGTGTCAGTCAGAGTTCAGCCAAAGAAAAACAGCAGAAAATGTTATGTATATATACATATATAAACATTGATATTTATATCATTACTAGAAAGTGGCTTGCGTGATCATGGGAGCTGTAGGCAGGCCCACTGGAAGGACCAGCCAAAACTCTCGGGCATAGGCCGAAGCTGCTGCCCGCAGGCAGATTTCTTCATGGAACTGCCAGCTCTGAAATTTAGGCCTTTCGCCTGACTGAGTCAGGTGCATCCAGATTATCTACAGTACAAAAGTAGCTGATTATGGACTTCCCGTCACAGGTACAAAATCCCTTCACGGCACACCTCGGTCAGTGCTAAACTGACACCCCGAGAGAGCATGGGTGAGTCAGTCCTCCCGATGGGTCTCGGATTGCTCCCTGTGGCTAAGCAGGATGAAGTAGGCTCCCCTCTGCTTACTCCTTTGCAGTTTATCAGGGCAAACCAGTATGTGAAATTTACTGAGTACCCGTCACATAATTTTATTCAGTGCTTTAAAAAAAAACAAAAAAACAAAATGATTATATAGCTATGCCTAGGTAATCAACACCAGTTGATTGGAGCCCTAGGGCTAGACCTTTTTCCAGGAGTACCAGTCAGTGCCCATTTGGCATTATCAAATCCATTGTCAACCATTATATCCTTGTGTAAACAAGTAAACACACAGGAGTAAATCAGCCATCACCCAGGTCTAGAGATCAAGTAGGCCCAACCATGGACAAAGACAAGTGGCTGAAGAACTGTTTAGAGTGCTGTTTACTGCAGGGGTAGAAGAAAAACTCCTGTTTTCTACCTTTAACTTTAAGCAGAAGAGAATGCCCTCTCCATTAAAACTCAGTCTTCTTTACCCAGGGAGCCTCAGAAAAAAGTGACTGAGCCACACACCTAGGGAGTCACTAACAGCTGGCAGTCAGGGCAGCTGAACACGCCTGGCTCCAGCCCTGGAGTGGGGGCTTCAGGCCCCATTCGATACTCGGCCACCCTTGTCAGCCTCACTTTTCTGACGTGAAGACATGAGAGCAGAACCGTCTCTCCTAGCACAGGCTCATAGAGTGTATTTATGGCTGAATAAATAAACTAGATTTTTCGTGGCAGTTTGCGGGGAGAGATTAAGAACTATCAGGGCAGGTCAGAGTCGGCCTTCTTAGCAGAAGGGAGCACATATGTGTGCGCACATTGGGGAAAAGGTTGTAGAGGAATCCCCGCTGGGCTGCAGGATCATGCAACCTGCAAAATGCTTTTATATCCTTTTGTTTTAGCTCCTAACAGGCTTACAAAATAGGCAAATAGTCACCATTTGACAAGTGATAGAGCACCCAAGAGGTTAATTGACTCACCTAGGAAGCCATCCTTTTTTCCCTGAGACTTAGCCCATGAGGATTTTCCTGCTCCCTGGGTGCTAAGCCCCAGCTGCCCCCTAGTGTCTTGCTGTGGAACACCATCTTACACTGAAAATTGGAATGGGACCTTCCTGCTCATGGGGAAAGGAAACCCGTGAGTCCCAGATAATGAACAGGAACAGTGTCAGGATTTAAGTGCTGGTGAATTGCAAGGTTGTGCTATCACAGTGCAATTGTGTTCCACCTTCTCCCAGCCCCAGAGCTGCCGTATTCAAGTGCTGTAACTCCCCTTTGAAGAGCCATCCAGTGCAGAGCCGGGGAAACCCAGACCCCAGGGAGCCTCCCGCTCCAGCCCTGCTCTGGAGAGACACCCGACGGGAGCTAGGTGCCTCTCTCCTCAGCAGCGGGACCGGTTGGGCAGAGGCAACATGGCTTTCTGAGGCGGCAGTTATTCTCTCCTGCAGTGCTGTGTGCATGCCAGCGTGAGCGAGCTCATAAACGTGATTTACTTAGCGTTTTAGGCTTTCTGTTGTAACTGCTGGTAAAGATAATAACCAAAAGATTGGAAGGAGCTGCTTTGATGACAACAAGCAACGGTTAGAAATAAAAGGTCTACGCTTTGAGATATTCTCAAGGCCTCTAAAGATTAGTGTTATCTGATCTTATTTGACTTTTTAATATACATTATTAAAGAGAGGTAGCCCTTATTGAAAACTGAGTTTGAAGATAACCCTAAAAACACATAGCAAAACACCAAGAGGAAGTCAGCAAATATTATTGACTGAGCTCCAGTGTTAGGCCCAGCAATATTCTTAAGAACTAATGGTCAAGATGAAAAGCTAGTGGTTTTCATTGGGGGAGAAATAGATAGTAAAGGTATAAATAAGATAATATAAAGATCAACACATGCTACATTTGAGAGAGTGACTGTCCTTGCTTTGTCATTGCGGTCAGGGATGGTTTCTCCGAAGAGGAAACAGTTTTGCTGAGAGAAATTGGAAAACCTCTTCCGAGGTTTGTCGGCCACTGTTCTGGGATATCACTTCAGCCACCAGCCTCATAGCATTATGTGTGCACGTAGGGGGCACACACCTATCATTTTTCATTTCCATGGTGCTTCTGGTGGGTCTCTTCTGCAGGCTCAGAAATAGGGAGTATACTGAATTGTTCTCCTGGCTCCTTTTTCTAGATGGTTGCTAAAGCAAATTTTTGTCAGAACCAACACAGAGGGAAAGTAGTTATATAATCTGGCCTTCAAGCTCTTAACAAGAATGTCAACAGAAGGACGCAAGTAGGATTGCAAGCTGTAGATCCTGCTTTGAGAGTTTTTCCCCCCAGTAGGCTGGACTCGGGCAGCTGGAAGGATACTCTGGCCCTTCTTTTCCCTAGCTTGCTTTCGGGGGTTGCTTCTTAGAGGTTTTTGTGTTCCGTACCTGCAAGGATGCTCTTCTGAACCCAGTTGTATTTCCTTGTCTCTAGGTTTCAGCCCCAGCACAGGAACAGGAAATACATTTAGAGGAGCTGACAACCTTGAGTGCAACAGAGGACTCTCCTCCTACCTCCCCTCTCAGTGACGATTCAGCTGCGGGAGGCCACCTGGAGCCTCCTCATGACCCAGGGACACGCCATCTCCCCACTGGGCACTCCGGTACTCAGCCCTCCAGCTCTGGCCTCTAGTCACCCCTCTCTCCTCTCTTCTGGCATCTCCTCTCCTTCATCTCCCCATCTCCCACCCTGTTAGAACCTGTCGTTGCCCTGCCCTCTGCCTTCTTTTCCTAGTGACTTCATTCCGTTTTGCTTATTCTTCAATCATTCATGTATTTAGCAAGTTTTCGTTAAGCACATGTCATGGGAAAGGCACTATTGGGAAAAAAAGATACATAGTACATCATCACTGCTTTCTAAGAGCTAGTTACGTAGGTGGCAGAGGGCTGATCAGAATGTAAGAGACAACCTCTTAAGGTACATGAGTGACATCTGTCCCCAGGCATCTGGTGCCATCCCAAGTAAGCAATGTGGACATTGTTAATGGGGAGCTAGGGTGCGTAAGGGTGCTTCATAGAGGAGGTAGCAGTGGGATTGAATAGTGAAAAATCAGAGAAATTTAAAGGGAAGAGAAAAGTGGTGGGCACCAGAGTAGAGAACATAAGCAAAGACTCTTAAGTGGTTGATCTTTGGAACCTATTGAAGTGGGCTCAAGGAGGACTGTATTTGAGAGCACAGGGTCTGCTTATGCAGGGCCTTAGAGCTGAAGCCAGAAAGATCGAGGGAGGGGGGCAAGGGGTGATGTGTGTCAGAAACAATATTTCAGGACAATTACCCCCACACGTGAGTATGATGATTGAGTGGGGAGACCAGTGACGGGGAGCCTGGTAGGAAGCTAGTACAGGAGAATAGATGTGAGGCCGTTACAGCCTCAATGAGGCTGAGTGGAGTGCGAAGTGAAATTTGCACGTTTGCAAATGTGACAGACATTACAAAGGAAAAATCCATGGGGTGGGGGAAGCTGGGGGGAGGGGATTTAGAGGGTTTTGACTAATATCTAGAATTATTAACAGATCTTGAGAGGTCAGGAAAGGAAGATGGTAAGAACATGCATTTGAGACACTGAACTTAAGAGGAGTAGGACACCAAATGAAATGTCCCATCCAGGCCACAGCAGAAGGATAACTAGGAGCCTGAGAAAGAGGTCTAGGAGAGAACTGAGAACTTAAGAGCATCGTTAGAGTGGTGAGAGTCAAGGAAGTCTCTGACAGAACAGGAAGCTCTGAGGCCTCGAGTGCCCAAATGAGAGGGTAGGAGAGGAGAGAGAAGCCAGGGAATGGGGTAGGGACGGGCAGAGATGCAAGGGGGAAATTAGGCAGGGCTGGTGCGCGGGAAAACATGTGGAGAGAAAGTGGTCAGAAGAGTAGCTTCCTTATAGGAGGTTGAAAAGAGCGAGGGCTAGGAGACCAGTTTTCGGTTTGAGCACAGACCCTCTACTGTGTACTCTGCGGAAAATTCACAGCACAAGTAGGGGAACATCTCTGTGGACAAGGGATGAGTGCCTGCGTGTGGAGCTGCCGGGGTCCTCTTGAATCCACTCAGAGGGATACAGCCTTCCTGGGCCCAAGGGCAGGCCTTGTCCACTCACAGATTTCTGTCCTCCCTCAGCTCGACGTGCTTCCCCGGCGCCGGCCCTTCCCCCAGTGGGGAGCACAGGACACCACGCAGCAGCAGCGGTGCTTCAGAAGGTCGGGCCCCAGGTGAGCTTGGCTCTTTGTGTCTTTCCCGACGGCCTGAGTCTGTGGCCCAGGGATCGCTAGAGCTCCTGTCCGGGGCTCCCGCCCCTCCTGAGGCTGCTCCTGGGACTCCCCGTCTCCTTGCTTCCCTGGAGGCGGGGCTGCCTGCTGAGTTGACGGACTCTCTCTCTCGCCCTGGACTTGTCCTTTGGGATGTGTCATGCCAGCTCCTCCCTCCTCCCCCGCTTAGCCCACCAGGGCCCTTGCCCTGTGCTCTTGGTGTCCCTGATGGCTCTGCCCTTCAGGCGGGGATGTCTCTGAGCAGTGGAAGCTTGTCGTTGCAGGGGTCCGCGGCGTACGAGTTCCTGTCCGTGGACTGCACGGAGAAGAAGTGGGAAGGTCCGGCATCGAGTCGGAGAGCCGTGTGCCGGAACATCGTGCCGGAAACTCACCGCAGCATGGCCTCACCGGGTAATGAGTCTGTGCCCCGGGAACTCAGCAGCCGCATCCTCCACGTTGTCTCTGCTGTAGTTCTTTCCTTTTTTAGCTGTTTATTGTGAAAAATTGCACACGTGGACAAAGCAGAACAGTATAATGACCCTCTACACCCATCACCCAGTTTTAACACTTATCAACGTTCTCTTTACGTCGTTATGAACTGAGTTAGGGTGGTTTAGTTAGAGTTTGTGTTTATAAGGTATAGAGACCTGCTGGAGTTACTTTAAGGAAGGAGCTATGCTATTTACGATAAGGCTAAGGGAATGGGAATCCTCTACAAACGGACCAGCTAGACCAGACTTCGGGAAGCGGGGCCTCATTGAGCCTGGGGAGCCTGGGAACCTCAGCAACAAAAGGAATGAGTTTTATTCCCAATGGCGTGGCTTCCCGCCATACATCATTTCACCTTGAGCTTCTCGTTTGTTGCAGTTGTATTCCTTTTGCTCTCCTTCCAGTTAGGAATTTACTTAGAGAGGGACTCCACGGGCGGTTCAGCTATTACATATCATCTTTGGGCAGAACTTTGTTCCTGGCCACAGCAGAAGGATAACTGATCTCCAGAAAAGTTAGCTACGCTTGGCTATAATGCCCGGCCCCTATCCAGTGGCCTGTGGTCCGTCATGGAATGATCTGGGTCGCTTGGCATAAGGCATGGTTGCCTCAATTTTTCCTTCAGGAAACACTAAACAAGGGCAGCTCCTTAAAGGTGCTGTTGTCAGTACAGGCTCTGTGTCTGACAAGTCTACTCTGGAAAGGGCAGGCTCAGGAGTCAGGTATTCAGAAATCTACAACTTGTATATTTAAAGTAGCATGATGATGTGACTTTAGACATGATTGAAAAGAACCAAAGTTTTCCTGTTTAGCTGTAAGTGTGATTGCTCTGCCTTCTCCCAATTTTTGTATTCAGAATCATATATTCAGCTGTTCAGTTTCCTGATGGTTCCAGATTATCAAAATACAACAGTCGTGTTTTGGTTTATACTCCATATTAATGATGCCTTTCTCAATCTGTATAGCACTGTAGCACTAGTTCCTAACAGTACAGTGCTCCAAGGTCTAGGCGATCCCCACTCCTAGAGCTTTGCACTCCCCCTCAGTACTTTCCTCCAGCATTTCTGAACCCATGGCTTCTCCAAATCTTGTCATTAAGCTATCATACCAGAATCACTCCTTTTTTATACTTTTTTTCTAATTATACACTCATAATGTCAATCTCCCTTCAAGTCTCATGTTTGCCCGTGCTTTTCTCATACTTCATATGAGGTGTTCGCCGTCGCTCTCTCTCCCCACCATCTTGCTGAGAATCATGGAACTGTACAGTGTCATGGTTGGAAAAGATCTTAGTGTTGTTATTTACTGAGGACACATAGCACCTGAGTGACTTGTGGAAGATCCCAAGTTCAAGCAAGCTTTACATCTGGTCTCTTGCTTTCAGTTGCCTTACTCACTTGGTTGTACTGATGCAAGTATCTGTCCAAATGGCTTTTCCTCCACCATCTCCACTGACCTTCCCCCTCTTTGTCTTTATGTCTGTGAAGAAAAATTTGAGACTTTTCTCCTTTTCTCTTGTTCTCAGTGTGTCACCTCATTCCTTACCCGTCATACAAAGGCTTTTTCAGGCACATACACTTCTGGTGATTGTTTTCTCAATAGGACAAAAAATGAGTAAAAGCGTTTTTCTCTTCTTTCTTTTGGCATCAGGTGAGACTAGGATGGAGAAATCAGAACTGCCTCGAGGGCAGGAAGTTTCTAAAGGATCGGGGTCATCTGATGGGACATCAGGATGCCTGTACGGGGTGGTTCCTGGGGGACCAGGAGCTGGAAATGTCGCTGAAGGTGCTTTAGGGAAGCTAGAACCCTCCGAGGAGGAAGGGAGCAGCCGGGAAAGTGATCTCCTGCAAGTAACACGTGAGGATGAAAACAAATCCGCAAAAGATGGATGTGATGACTGTCAGGAACTTGGGGAACGTCCCAACCTGTCTTCCAGTCCTGCAGAACATCAGGTTCTGAAGTCACAGAAATTCTACCAATGTGACGAATGTGGCAAAGCTTTCAGTAGGAGCTCACACCTCATTGGCCATCAGAGAATCCACACTGGAGAGAAACCTTATGAGTGTACCGAGTGTGGGAAGACCTTCAGGCAGACCTCTCAGCTCATTGTTCATCTGAGAACCCACACGGGGGAAAAGCCCTATGAATGCAGCAAGTGTGGGAAGACCTACCGGCACAGCTCCCATCTCATCCAACACCAGAGGCACCACAACGGGGAGAGACCGTACAAATGTAATGAATGCGGAAAAGCCTTCACTCAGAGTTCCCAACTCATTGACCACCAGAGAACCCATACTGGGGAGAAACCTTATGAATGCAGTGACTGTGGGGAGACCTTTATTCGAAGTAAAAGTCTTGTCCGACATCAGGTGCTTCACACTGGTGCGAAACCCCACAAGTGTAACGAGTGTGGGAAAGCTTTCTGTTCTAATAGAAATCTTATTGATCATCAGAGAATCCACACTGGAGAGAAGCCTTATGAGTGTATTGAGTGTGGCAAAGCCTTCAGTCGGAATAAATGTCTTATTCGACATCAAAGCCTCCACACTGGGGAAAAGCCGTACAAATGTAGGGAGTGTGGGAAAGCCTTCAATCAGAACTCTCAGCTTGTTGACCACGAGCGAATTCATACTGGAGAAAAACCTTTTGAATGTAATGAGTGTGGAAAGGCATTCGGCCTGAGCAAATGTCTTATTCGACATCAGAGACTTCACACAGGTGAAAAGCCCTATAAATGCAGTGAATGTGGAAAATCCTTCAATCAAAACTCACACCTCATCATACACCAGAGAATTCACACTGGTGAGAAACCTTATGAATGTACCGAGTGTGGGAAGGTTTTCAGTTACAGCTCCAGTCTAATGGTGCATCAGAGAACTCATACTGGAGAGAAACCTTATAAATGTAACAACTGTGGGAAAGCCTTTAGTGACAGCTCACAACTCATTGTGCACCAGAGAGTTCACACTGGCGAGAAACCCTATGAATGTACTGAGTGTGGGAAGGCCTTCAGCCAGCGTTCCACTTTTAACCACCACCAGCGAACTCACACTGGAGAGAAGCACTCTCAGGTCTGGCTCGGTCAGTTTCCTAAGGCCTGAGTTTCCAAGGCAGAGAGCAAGGCACTTTGAATTAAGCCTTCTTTGTAAGATGGATGTTTACCCTGATCCCTTCTAGGAACCACTGATGAAAGTGGAACATCCCCTAAGTGCTGTCTGCGGGGTCATGAGGGTGGGAGAGTGGAGGAACAGTGCCTCCCTCCCCACTGTTGGGGACAAATGGATGCACATTTCATGGACTTGTGTGGTTTTCTCCTTTCTTCCTTCTTTCCTTCCTTTTCTCCCTTCTTGCTCCCTTTCTGTCTTACTCTTTCTCTTTTTTTTCCAACTGTTTAAAAATGTATCTCATTTCTTACGTATGCATCCTATCATCATACTATGTTTTTCAAAGACAGAGATTATGTCTTCCTTATTCTAGTCCACCTGCTCTATTTTATCAAGTCATTCTCTAGGATTGATTCATTCTTTACTCTCTTTGGCTGTGGCCCTCCTTACCTACTTCTTTAATTTACACTCTAACCTAGACCCTCATCATCAGTATTCCGGACTCAAAAAAGCTTTTCTTATCCCATTTGCTAATCTATGTCCCTCAGAACCTCCCAGATCAATCTCGTCTTTAGATATTTCCAGATCCAGTTCATCTGTGAAAGACTTCTTCATCTCCTTCTTTATTCCTGTTACTCATTTGACCTCAGTGCTTCAAAGTATCTGGTGCTACAACATGCAACTGTTGTTAAATTGCCTTGTAAATTATTCTCATTTTAATGCATATGTGTATGCATTCATAGCAACTTATTGTAGGCTCTTTGAGGTTGGATATGGTATCCATTTCTTTTAGCATATAGATAATTTTCACATACTAGTCATTAATAAATATTTTTTTAAACTTTCCTCTTGAATTGAACCATCTTTAAATTGGGCACAGTCTACCTACCCATCTCTCCCATCAGACTAGAAGCTTTTAAAGATGGAAGTGGCTTCTCATTATAGGATATCATACACAAAAACCTCATTGGTATCTTTATGTACCCCTGGAAGTTTCACTACTCTTACTCCCTTGTTGCGGGTGTGTGTGTGTTTGTAAGATTTTATTTAGTTTTAGAGAGAGAGGAAGGAAGGGAGAGAGAGAGAGAAACATCAATGTGTGGTTGCCACTTGTGCATCCCCTCTGGGGGCCTGGCCCACAACCCAGGAAGGGGCCCTGACTGGGAATTGAAGCGGCGACCCTTTGGTTTGCACACTGGCACTCAGTCCACTGAGGCACACCAGCCAGGGCTGGTGTCTGATATACTGTAGAGTGTGGGAAGTTTCCTTCTATTCCTGTTTTTAGAAGAAGCGATATAGAATCATAGTTAAGTACATAGATTTGTGCCCTGCACTCTAGGCTCAATCCTAAATCTATCAGTTTCTCAGGTGTGTGATCCTGGACAAGTCTCTCACTTGACTTCTTTGTGTCTCAGTCCTTCCATCTATAAAACGAAACTACCAGCCTGGCTGGGTGGCTCAGCAGATTGAGCACTGACCTGCAAACCAAAAGGTCACTGGCTTGATTCCCAGTCAGGGCACATTCTTGGGTTGTGGGCCTGGTCCCCAGTTGGGAGTGTGTGAAAGGCAACTAATAGGTGTATCTCGCACATTGATGTTTCTCTCCCTATCTCTGTCACTTAGCCTCTCTCTAAAAAGAAAGAAAATCTTTTTTAAAAATGTTTTAAAAATGAAGCTACCTCATAAATTAGTTCATACAGTATAGCAATTAGTATACCTAGTTTTTATTAGGGTGGCTGTTAAATTCTGTCAAGTTTTAAAAAATCTATTGGTGTAATTTTATGGGTTATGTCATTTATTATTTTTGTAATTTTTTGACAGTTTTCCAAATAGCTGAAATTCCTTTGCACTCAATATAAAATCCATTCATTTCTGGTAATTATTTTTAAAGGTTTTGCTGGCTTTGCAAAATGTTTTGAAGAATTTGCATAATATGAGAGTTATTCTTTGAAGGATAAAAGTAACTGGGTCAGATCCATTCTTGGAGAGGAGTCAATTGGGAGAGACAAACCTTTAGCAACATTTTGATTTCTCCAGTGGTTGCACTCTACATTTCTACCTCTATTAATTTTGTTAATATATATCTGGAAATCATTTTACTGGTCTGTCAAACAGTGGTAGAAAGTTACACATAGTGTTTTGTAAAATTCTTTTACTCTTGTATATGTAGTTAGAGCTTTGTTTTCATACGTAATGTTTTACATTTGAGTGTCCTTTCAAGTTTTTTGTTTGGTTTTGTTTTGGCATGACTGCCAAGTTTATTTTGTTTCTCTTTGGAACTCAAGTTTTTTTCTTTTTTAAAATCTTTTTCTTTCACAGTTTTTCTTCAATATATTTTTTCAAATGTCTTTTTACTTGCCTCAAGTTGCAAGGCTTTTCATTTGTCCCATATATCATTTGTTTTTTTTCCCCATTAGTCAATTTGAGGGCTTTCCCATTTTGATATTTCCCCAAAATAGGGAAAGTGGATTTTCCTGGATTTCTTTTAGTGTCCTCTTGGATGCCATTAAAATTGTCTGTTTAGATCTGAAGCTAGACGGTGAGTATTTACATTGCTAATGTGTGTGTAAAGAGTGAAGGAACAGCCCAGGGTTTTGCTAATCTGGTTGAAAACCGTCCACCCAGCGCCAGCATTTTGTATCTCGCTTCATTTCAGCTCAGCTGTTGTGCTATGGATTCAGTGAAACCTCCTTCCATGTTCTTTATTGATTCCAGGTAACTTTGTTGTTTCAAAACAAAACAAAAACTGAGTGCGGAAAAAACTTCAGTCACAACTCGGGCTTTATTTTCCATCAGCCACTTCAAATCGGGAAAAGAACGTTTTTGGGGGTTTTTTATTTTACTTTTTTTTTTTACATTACTTTTAGTCCCCTTATTCCCCCCTTCCCCCAACAGACCTATTCTTAGTAAAGTGCAAGAAAATGTTCAGTTACAGAAAGCATTACCCACCAGAGTTAACGCCTGTAAGAAAGTTTACTCATTGTGAGGGGGAATGCCTTAGTTATAGTTTATCATTTGACATCAGAAAATCCACATGAGTTGAGTCTCTTGGTTTTGGAGGGCAAGAAATCTATCATGCAGAACTTCTATTATTTTGCACACATTTCTGAAAAAATATACCTGAAATAAGTAGAAATCTTTTTGTTATAACACATAGGTTCTACGCCATCCATGACTCCACAATGCAGAAAAAGAGTATCAGTAAACAGTATGAACAAACTCTCAAATTATTTTTAAAAATCAGACAATATTCCCAGAAGATGGGTATGACCCAGGCAGTGCCACATGGTGGCAGAAGTGCTAGGAGCTCACTTCCCCTCTTACCTTTTACACAAAGAAGATACTGCACAGCTACACTCTGCATCCCAACCCTGGTAATTCAGCTTTTAAATCCAGTAGGAAAGGTGAAGAGATTTGGGGTGTTGACAAGTTGTTGAATACTGTCCCATGTTGGGAGATATTTCTGCCAAGGTGTTGACCTCTTGGAGTGCTGCAAAGGATGCATTCCTGAAAACCTCTTAAGTGTTAGGGACAAATTGAATACCTACAGGGTGGCTTTTGCTCTATATAAAGTTAACAAATCCCTTACCCCTAACATTAGGACATGTTCTAGCCTTATGGGTCCTTTTAGAGGCACTTGGATAAAGCTGGATAAAGGGAAGGTGCCATGGTGTCAGCTCCAAGTACCTACTGGTGCAAGTATTTGACTGAGGATAGGACATTGTAGGCTTCCTGCTCACTGAACCACAGTCATCTTCCCACTGATGCGAGCACAGGGCTAAGGACCTCATATTTGGCCCAGGTGGGTGCCAAGTAAGGTGGGTGCAGATTCCCACTTAAGGCACGTGAATCCTTTACACGAAAACAGGAAAGAAATGTATAAAATCCTGCCTCCCTTTCTGACCTATGGGTATTCCTTAGGTAATGGTTAGGAATTACCAGCTAACTAAAAACACATTTTTTATATGCCTTAGGTGGGCCAGTCCATAGACTTAAAACTTTCTAGGCATGAACAGATGCATTTTATGATGATCTCTAATAGACCTCTCCACCCAGGTCCCTCCAGTTGCATTGCCCTGTATACGACTGAGGCACTCACAAGATAATCAGTTTCCCAGCTTGGTGCCGTATGGATTGTGGACAGACATGCACAGGGCCAACAGTCACCCAATATTTGGGCACCATGAAAGTAACCTCAGGACACTGTATATTCCCCTTAGACTGAGTGGCAGCCGTGGCTTCATCCTCAGGGCCACAGGGCACATAATGTATATGCCCAGCCACTAGATTGTATACATTAATTACATACTTTGATTCCCACTTGGGTAAGATGGAAAAGCGCTATACCCCCTCACTGAGAGTATGATGCTTTCCAGGGAAGTAGAGGCCAAAACAGTTGGAATCGCACCATACCTGCGGCAGCCATGGCAAGTCAGGGAGCACATCCCGTTGTCAGGGAGAGGCCGTGGGTGAAACCTCTTTCAGTATCCAGGCTACCCCGGCAATGGGCAAAAATGGATGCCACTCCATCTCCTGCTGGGGAGCCGGACCACTGGCGCCCCTAGGACTTGAGATGTGTGTGACCTACTAAAGGGGTCATTTGTGGGGAAAGTGGTCCTGGCAGGTGCTGCTACTGGGCTAAATTTAAAGCCACTGACAACTGTGTTCTCCAGCCTAAGCTGTGCATTTACAATAGGGTATCCATTGTCAACATCTGTCATAGTGAGCAGCACTGGGCCAATGCCATAGTTGTAGTTGTTCTTTAAAAGCCTTCTGAAAAAGAACCAGTTGAGGAACTCTAGACAATTCACCTCTTCTCAGGGGCTTCCTAAGATTGCCATCGAGAGCGGGCATGTGGGATGCCTGAACTCTAGAATCAGGAACATCTGGACAATTCCCCCAAATCTGCAAGAACAGGAGGCGTTGCGCTTGTGATCAGGGGCCTCCGATTTGTCCAGAGCAATATGCTTGTATCAGGGCAGATGTAAAGGTGTGCTTCACCTGCCCTCCCCAGACAAGAAGCTAGTGTCCTGGCCTGCAATGGACACCAATGGCAAAGCCACCTGACATGTCACATGCTCTGCATTGCCAGGTTCTGGGACTCCTTTTTCTTCTTCTGGGATAATAATGAGTAGGTCACCACCAAATATGTTGTCCCTCAAGGAAGTCAGGTGTACTGGTCTGCAAGGGCCACCATAACAAATACCACAGGATGGGTGGCTTAACAGCAATTTATTTTCTCACATTTCTGGAGCTAAAAGTTTGAGATCAAGGTGCCATCAGGGTTGACTTCTGAGACCTTTCTCTTTGGCCTGTAAATGGGCCTCTTCTTCTATCTTCACATGGCCTTTCCTCTTTGTTAGTCTGTGTTCCTAATTTCTTCTTCTATACTTGATCTTAGCCAGAAGGCCAAGAAGTGATAATTAATTTCCTCTTCTTATGCAGACTCTAGTTGTATTAGATTGGGACCCACCCTAATGACCTCATTTAACTTTTATTACCTCTTTAAAAGTTCTATCTCTAAATAGTCACATTGTGAGGTCCTAAGGGTCAGGACTTCAGCATATGAATTTGTGGGGATCACAATTCAGGCCATAATAGCAGGGCTTTTTGCTTTAATATAAATTGAACTCAAGGACAAGAC